AGGGTAGGTGAGGGTAGGTGAGGGTAGGTGAGGGTAGGTGAGGGTAGGTGAGGGTAGGTGAGGGTAGGTGAGGGTAGGTTGCAATGGTTGATGAGCATTTGAATTAAAATTACGATTTCACCAAAATTAAAATAAACTAAAAAATGCAGTATATATTGAATCAAATCCAATAATTGCCAAGGATGAAGAATGCAATGGTTAGGTGATGCAGGTGGTGAAGCGACAAAATTGAGGTGGTGACGATGGTGGTTGTAGTCAGTGGGTGTGATGACTAGAGTGATTGTGGTGACTGGCAGCTGTGGTGACTGTGGTTGCACTCACCCACGGATGATGATGGCTTGTGGTGATGCAGTAGAGTTGGTATGCAGTGTGCACTCCCACGAAGGCTACAGTGAAGGCACCCACATATTTGATGCTCATCACCACACCCAACCACACCCCCGTGGCCGCGAGCTGCACCCACCATAACACCGACCACTCCCTGCAACCAAGAGTAATTTATCCTTAGTTATTTTATCCGTTCCCGTCCCTTCTTGTGTCTATTCATTTATTTTTTGCTTGCTATTAATCTTATATGCGACGTGCTCTCAGATTTCGTTTGAACCAGACGCCACGGTAAATGCTTCGTAGAACAATTATAATAATAATATCGTGGTTGTCACATCAAACGCTCGCGCAAACTTGAACAGGTTTCATTATTCTCTCGTATAATGTTTTCTAATGTGTTCAAAACTTTTCAAAGTTGATACTATCGATATCTATTTTTGTATTTCAATTTTTATTTTGATATACTATTTTAGTTTAGGAGATCTCTGGGTACGGTTGAGTTGTTAGGGGCCTGGAAGTTTGAGTTGTTTGGGGCTGAGGGTTGAGTGGTATGGGGCTTGGGGTTGAGGGGCTAAGGGCTGAAATTAAATTGAATTTAAGAGTAGTAAGCAACCTGTGCGTGTAGGAATTTAAGAGTAGCAGGCAACCTGTGCGTGGAGGAATTTAAGAGTAGCAGGCAACCTGTGCGTGGAGGAATTTAAGAGTAGCAGGCAACCTGTGCGTGGAGGAATTTAAGAGTAGCAGGCAACCTGTGCGTG